TTTTGTCCTGAGTTTAAAAATACCTAGTGTTTACGTGCTTTTTTGCTTTTTTTTGCATGTTATAGGGCTATAGGTACAAGTAGGATAATGCGGTTTCAAAACATACATTTTTAAAATTTATCAATAGTGACATTGTAACACTATTATCTGTCATAAATCTCTGAATAACACCCACATGTACATATTTTTTTTAAAGTAGACAACCCAGGGTATTCAATATGGGGTATGTCCAGTCTTTTTTAGTAGCCACTTAGTCGAAAACACTGGCCAAGTAAGCATTCATATTTGTTTGTGTGTGAAAAAAGTAAAAAAACTAAATTGAACGCTAATTTTGGCCAGTGTTTGTGACCAAGTGGTTACTAAAAGACTGGACATACCCCATTTGCAATACCTTGGGTTGTCTTCTTTTGCAAATGGTATGCCATCATGGGGGTAATTCTCATTCCTAGACTTACAGCGCGCTCTCAAAGAGACAGCGTAACCAACCTGGCCATTTTTCAATGTAAAATATTTGACCCATATATTTTGACCTTGTAGCTTTCAAAAGAAATGCTTTATAAAGGTATGTACATGGGGGGTACTGTTTTTACTCTCGGCGAACATCGCTGAACACAAATATTAGTGCTTAAAACTGGAAAACGTATCACAACAATTATATCATCAGTAAAACTGCTGTTTGTGTGTGAAAAATGCAAAAAAAGTCACTTTCACTGACAATATCATCGCTGTGATATGTTTTACCGTTTTGAATCACTAATATTTGTGTTCAGCGAAGTCTCCCGAGTAAAACAGTACCCCCCATGTACAGGTTTTAGGGTGTCGTAGAACGTTACAGGGTAAAATACAGTGTTAGCAAATTAAATTCTCTGGAATTTTGGCCTGGGTTGGCAGGCAGGTCCCTCAAATTGCAATCAATAAAATTACTGAATTATGTAAAAATATTACATAAATACGCACGTAGAATTTAAATATATATGCATATTTATATATTTGAAGTCTACGTGTATATTTATATAATTATTTATGTAATTTTGTATATGGACGTATGTATATTTCTTATTATTTTTATTTATTTTTATATACATAGATATATATACAAATTCATTCTAAGTGTATTTTGATATAAATATATATATATTAATTTTAAAATACAGTTAGAATAAAATTTCATATAGCTATATAATTTTTTTTTAATTTTTTATTATTATTTAAAAAAAAATTTATTTAATTTAAATTACTTATTATTTATATTTTATAATAATATATATATACAATATATATAGTTATTATATATATTATATATATACGTGTGTAATTTAATTATAAGTGTATTTTATATTAATATAAGTACATATTAATATAAAAATACACTTAGTATGACATTATATATATATGATATATAGACATATATTATATAGGTATAATATATGTCTATATATCATATATACACATATATAATTATTTTTATTTTTTTTATTAACATTAACTTTCTTTTTTTTTTTGATTTTACACTAGCAGGGAGACTGCCTGTCAGCACAGGCAGTCCCCCTGCAGGCAGCACTATGGACACCTATTGTGACCATGTGATCGCTGTGTTAAGCGATCACATGGCCACAGGGGTCCTAATCAGTGTGGGGAGACTGTCTGGGCTGCAGGCAGTCTCCCCACAACCGGAGCCACGCTGATCGCCGCCGGGGGAACGACGGCGATCAGGTAAGTAGCTCTGACCGTTAGGACGGTTCAGGACCGTCATCGGTCGGCAACGCAAAAATGCCGATGACGGTCCTGAACCGTCCTCGGTCCTTAAGGGGTTAAAGCATTTTATAATATATTATACATAAATAATGCATATATATGAATTCATTACAAGTGTATTTTGAAATATATGTGTATATATCTCAAAGTACACTTATAATGAAATCATATATATGCATTATACATGTATAACATATTATAAAATGCCTTAATTATTTTATAATAAATGATACATATATGAAATATGTATAATATATTTATTTTATTATCATTTTTTTACTTTTTAGCAGCCTGGGGACTGCTTGACAGCTCAGACAATCCCCCTGCTGGCAGCTCCATATACTCCTATTGTGGCTATGTGATCATGGTGATCAGATGGCCTTGGAGGGCCGGATGGCCGGAGTTGCTGCAGGGAGACTGCTGGGATCTCTTGCAGAAACCTCCGACCATGATCATCGCAGATCGGCAGATCGGCAGTGCAGGTAAGTCCTATTTGTCACGGATGTACTAGGTACGTCCACGGTCTTTAACGACTGTTTTTTTGTCGGACGTACCTAGTACGTACATGGTCGTTAAAGGGCTAAAGTAAGCAATCTTGATGCTTTTTTTTTTGGTTGCACAAACCTTTCTTTTTACTTAATGAGTTTTCCAGAAAGAAATATGAAGTACACACTAAAAAATAACTACAGATTGTTTTTATTTTATTTATTTTTTAAAAACAGGTCCAGTGAAAGGATCATGTTTAACAAAAGAGTGCAGCTTTATTTATCTGTAATAATAATCTGGCATACAAAATAATATTGTTCATATTTGTCATTTCAGAATAAGGCAAAACATAGACTTTATTACAAATATTGTCTTAAAACAATAGAGAATATTCATTCTTGCTACCGTAGGCTATATGATTTTTTCAAAATCTTTGTTACATTAACCCCTTAAGGACCAAGCTTCTGGAATAAAAGGGAATCATGACATGTCACACATGTCATGTGTCCTTAAGGGGTTAAAACCTTGTAAATATCAGTGTTATACCTGAAAAGGTGCCAGCATTTTTTTTCAAAGATCTTGACAGAACCTGCCAAGCTATCATTATGTAGTAAATACGCTACATCCCTTTTAACATATGTACATACAGTACAGTGTGATGTTTAAAGCAAAATATATTTTGCTCTAACCTTGGCTTTGATTTAACATTTTTGAAAAAAAACTTAAAAAAATTATTTTAACATTTTGAAAAATATTTAAATATTATGATATTTTTTAATACAGTGATTATATTTATATATATATTTGATATTTGAATATTTTTTAAAAATACATTTTTACAAAAATATTAAAATATTTGAAAAGTTTATTCAACAATATTACATTTTTTCATTCATAAAGTAATTTTCCTCAAAAGAAAAAAAAAATTTTTTTGTGATTAAAATGTTCAATCAATCAATCTTATAGCTTATTTTTGTCTATTTCTGATTATATTTTTGGAATTCTATAAAAGTTTTTTTTTCTGTAATGGCTTTCTCTTTTTTTATAGTGATTCAGTTCTGCAAGAAGAGACTTGCAGGTATATTTACTGAAAGGGCAGTTGTGGGGGATTCAAATTGAATTCAATGTAGCCAAACTGGATGTGTAGTTGAATCCTAGAATCTTTCCAGTGGGCTATTGTGCCTTTATATTTCAAATTAACCTTCAATTCCTGACAATTCTCACTTTAGCGAAAAATCCTTTCAGACTGGCAACAAAAGTGTTCCAAAAATATGCTGTGTCTTGTTTTAAAAGAAAATGTTCATTACAATCATGCTGCATTAGAATCTGAGTTTTGTTGGTTTTTGAGTTCTGCAAGAAGATGCTAAGTGTGCCAACAGAAGTGTTCCAAAAGTATTTTATGCTTATTTCCTGCAGTTAAAGGAATACTCCAAGCACCATAACCACTACAGGAGTAATGCAATACTTATGGTACCAGGAGTGCCCTGGCAAATACCCAACCCAATATAAATAGTCAGTCTGTTAGGTAACAGTTTGACAGCTCACCGGGGGTCCAATGGGCTCCGACACTTTCTTCTCTACTTCTGGTGCAGAGAGCCAGCTGCTTTTGCTTGAAGCTTCCATTAGCACTCCTAGGTCCTGCACTGCAGGCTCAGCATGGCTGAGAAAATCAGCTAATCACTCTCAGCCAATGAGCTAAGGCTTACACCACCAGGCATAACTTAGGCAGAAGGATTTAGCTCCAGAATGCTTGGGGGACTGGGTAACCAAACTGTTTGACTACTTACATTTATGTTCATTGAAGTGAACTGATCCCTTACAATATCAGTCATATTTTTAACTTTAAAAGCACTATTTTAAGCAAACGTACAAATCCAAAATTGTTTCTTTCTCTTTCAGAGTTGATCTTCATACCTAAATTAGATGTTTCTCGAGCAACTACTCTACCTGTCTTGGAAAATGTCATGAGGTCCTTTTTTTTCAAATAAACTCTGATAAAGGTTCATCTTGTGCCATCATGTCTGGCCTTAATCCTTCATTTGGTTCTCCAGAGGATGTGGGAAATGGAACTTTCCTGGAACTTTTTCCTACCTCTATCTCAACTTCAGTGGATTCGTCATCGTCGCCAACCCGGTTATCAAATGTTTACGTCTACGTTTCCATTTTCCTCAGTTTGTTGGCATTTCTCCTACTGCTTTTAATTATTGCTCTTCAAAGACTGAAAAATATAATCTCTTCAACCTCTTCTTATCCAGAGTATACTAGTGACGCAGGAAGCTCCTTCACTAATTTGGAAGTTTGTAGCATTTCTTCACAGCGGTCTTCTTTTTCTAACCTGTCTTCATAAGACAATATAAAGGGGAATCTTAAAAAAACTATAAAACATGGAAATATTGCATGTGACATTTTACTATAAAACTGAAAAGGCATCTCTTATTCATTCTGTTTGAGTCAATGCTGCTTTTTAAATCAATTTAAATGTTGCCATTTATGTACTTTATCTGCGTATATTGACATTGACATATTCAAGCTACGTTAACATACTCTCATTGAGTTTGAAAGTTGAAACAATTCGCATTAATGAGATCCATAGAGCTAATACAATAAATACAATTAGGGCCATAATATAAATCTGTCATCCGCTCTTTAAAATTAAAAATTCCTTCAAAAGCTTGATTTATGTGAAATCATAAAATATAGATGGTCTATTGCATAGGTCACCAAACTTGGCCTTTCAGCTATTGTCTACATTTTCTATTACACTCTGCTAGCCAACAGTTAATGGCTGGCATGGGAGTCCAACAACAACAGCAGCTCAAGGGCCAATATTGGACAGCCCACATGTATATATTCTGCCTCATGTAGCTTTTAAGCTCTAAATAATTTCTGCAATACTGTTCATTTCGAAGCTGTGTTTTCATTTGTTGGCCATGTACAAAAGAATGTTGAGAATATTTTATATAATTATTTAGTCCCTTTACTTTTCATAAATAAAAATAAATAGACTATCTGTACAGTATGATGGATCATATTATTATTAGCATTTTTATAGTGCAAACATACTCTGCATAGATTTGCAAATATACCAGTGGGGATATAAAACAGTAAATATTAGTACACAGACAAAATAATGTTGACAGATGCAATAGGTGAAGTTCTCAAATGAGTTTGCAATCTCAGAACCCATATATAACAAACCTTATGAGTTTTGAATTGATGCACATCATGTAAAAGGAATATAATCAAAAAGAAAAAAATCACTTCAGTAAGATTTAGAGGTTATTCAAGAAGGGTCTGCAAGACTTGTGTAGAATGTTCATGAGCTTCCTGTATTTAACCTCCTCCTTCTTCTCACAGCTCCCTTTATGTAGATAGACTGCTGTCTGACCTCAGCCAGTAATCAAAGTGCATAGCATAAAAAGCCAATTTCACTTCTGGCACTGTCACAATAAAGAGAGGCTTGTGTTTTTAAAGAAGTTCCTACATGTTCGCAATCACTTGAAAGGCAGACACGCAAGAAATAGAAAAAAACAAAACAAAATATACACATAGATACTTGAACAATCTACATTAATATAGGTGGAAATCATTTTCCCAACTAATAGAATATAGATTCAGATATGGATACTATTAAATGAATACATTATGAGTTAATCTATATACTATAAAATACTAAAAATTAAAAAAAAATTAAGAATTTTTCGTTTTACTTTATTACTAAAATACATCCTGGAGTGTTAACCTCAGTATAGTTTATTTAAATATTCCCCTCTTGACATGCAATATTGCCCATGGTGTTTTATGTAACTCTTAAGAAAAGTTTAAATGATGTGGAACACGCCAAAATGAGGGATGTTAAAAACAAATTCCCCCAAATATTGCTTTCACAGTGTTATGTAACATTTTGGATGACCAATAAAAACAAAACAAAAAAAATTAAATAAATTAAAACAAATTCCATTTGATTGACAATCCCATAAACATAAGATCTGCCTTTTTAATAGCACTAGTTTTTACAGCATATATACGGTTTTCTTGTTATTACTAATTATTCTGTGTAAATGTATAAGACTTTATTCTAACTGTAACGGTTTAGTAAATGATAAGACCCCATTAATTAAAACTTAAGAAAGAATTTATCCTGGAATTAAAGGACACAAGAGAAATTAGTTGCTTCTAAAATAATGCATAATGATAACCTTAAAATGGCCATTTTACACAATTCTCCTAAATTGGTAAATTTACCTGATGCATAGGATCAAAAGTCTTTATAGTAATTTATTTTCCTACTTGAAGCATTTTCCCACAGGTGGTTGATTGCAGTAATAAGTAAATACTGAGCTTGATATATATGACAGCTAGGGTCGGGTACATAGATCAATGATATTCCTTATCATAGGAATTCATCTTCACATGAACACAGTGGTCAAACATAAAATGTGATGATGAATCAATTTACCCGTGGAAGTAATGTTTACAATTATTAGCTTGTGCGTTGAGCTTAACAATAAATACATATTACGTATGGTTATTTTTACTTCTTTTAATACTTAGCCTTTATTTTTGGAGGTTTATGAAAAAGATTTATCATCAGACATCCCAACTCTCCGAGACATTCCATGAGTCTCCCGCATTTAATAGCGGCTCCCTGATGCCTGCAAATTATTTGCAATATCCAGGAAATCACAAAAACACAATGTATAATATAATTATAAATACAATGCATATATAATTTGCGGGCCACCCGATGGGTATCGCTGAACAGGCATCCAATCCGGCGCTGCAGCCCAACAAGGATCCTGTAGTATTGGTCGGCTGGCAGGAAGTGACAGTCAGTCACTTCCTCCCAGCTTCATAAGAGAGCTCTGTGCAGGAGAGAAAGCGGAGGCGGCGGCACCAAAGACAATATTGGGAGGAGAGGCAGAAGTGAGCTGCTGCAGACCGTCATGTTCACTCACATCAGCCAGCATCACCAGGTCCCCAAGCAAGTCACCCTCCTGGACACAAAAGGTAAGCTAACATGAGGGTGGCTGCAAATCAGTGGCGTACTAAGGGGTGAGTGGGGGGATGAGGGGGGCAGTCTGCCCCTTTAAAGTATTTGCATGTTATATATTCACAAAATGGCTCTCAGACATTGTAGTAAAATAGAACTTCTCTTTACTTCAGTACACACACATAATAACATAATAACACAAGAGAGAACAAGTGCATAACTTCACTATGCTGCCATCTACTGGAAGGTGGACTGCATAAACCCCAGGTGCCACCAGGGCTGGCCAGGCTTGGGGTTCTGTGAGCTGTGTGGCTGCACAGAGTGCCATAGCAGCAGGTTCACTGGGCAGCCAACACAGCTTACACACGCAGGGGCTGGGAATACATCAGGAGAACTGCACGGAGAGTTGGGGGTGGAGTCAAATCTGATGTGGGCAGAGCTAAAAGCAGACTCTTACTGCTGCACACAGAGGGGAAGCAGGAAGGAGTCCCTGCTTCCCCAACTACTACACACTAGGGAGTGAATCCACTCCTCCTCCAGCCCAAGCTGACCATAAGTGAGAGAGAGTGTGTACTTGTGTAACTATGATTGTGTCTGTCTATGTGACTGTCTGTGACTGTGTGTGTGTGTGTGTGTGTGACTTTATGTTAAGTGTCTGTGACTGTGTGTGTGTGTGACTGCCTGTGATTGTCTGTGTGACTGTGTGTGTGTGTGTGTCTGTCTGAGACTGTGTGTGTGTGTGACTGTCTGCCTGTGAGTGCCTATGTGACTGTCTACCTGTGACTGTCTGCCTGTGACTTTGTGTGTGACTGTCTGCCTGTAACTGTGTGTGACTGTGTGCAAGTGACTATGTGTGTGGGACTGTGTGCATGTGACTGTGTCTGACAGTCTTCGCCCTGCAGTGATCCGGCAGCCGGGATATGATGTCATCGCGGCCTCTGCGTCTTTACAGTGAGTGCGAGGGACCTGTGGAGGAAGAGCACAGAGATCCCAGCAGCAACCACTGACCACCAGGGATTGAGGATCCACTCCAGCCCTTCCAAAGCAAGGTAGGGAGGCTGGGTGGACCTCTTAATAATTAAATGTGTGTATGTATTTGATGTCTATGTGTGTATGTATAATTATGTGTGTATGTGATTGTGTATGATTGTGGGTCTGTGATTGTGTTTGTGTATATCTGTGTTTATGTATGTGATTGTGTGTGTGTAGGTCTGTGATAGTGTGTAGTTATGTGGGTTTATGTCTCTGATTGTGCATATCTATCTATCTAGCTGTATATATATATATATATATATATATATATATATATATATATATATATGCACACACACAACCACAGATATACACACAGAGACATACATCTCTTGTGTTATTTTGTGTATATAAATGTGTGTTTAGTAGATAGCTCGCTTATTTGGTGTCCTTAAATATTGCAATCCCACATAAGGATAACAAATAAGGGAGTTATCTACTAAACAACTGAAATTAAGAAAATGGCTTTTTAAATTTTGATATTTTAGTTGTTTAGTATATAATTCCCTAAATTGGTGCCCTTATGTGAGATTTCCATATTTAAAGATACCAAATTAGGGTGCTGTTTAGCAGATAGCTCTTTATTTGGTGTCCTTAAATATGGCAATCCCACATAAGGATAGCAAATAGGGGAGTTAGCTGCTGAACACAGATCGAAGTTAAGAGGTGTCAGCCAGCCCACAACAAGAAATCTGGGTGGCTAATGTGAATTCTATGCAAATGTGTTGTCAGATGCCAGCATGCACAGCAACAGCATGCTGACATCAGACAGCCAATGGCAGCACATTACACCATCCCCTAGTGAAAAGATTTAGTGCTCCCTCCACCACCGTTTTGACTGTGGTATCTTATGTGCCCCCCCACCTATATATTATTCCTAGAGTCGCCACTATGTCTTCATGTGTGTCAATGTGTATCTGTGTGTGACTGTGTGTCTGTGTAGCTGCATGTAAGTCAGTATGTGTGTATGTGCATACAAGGGATGTGCATGGGCAAAAAAATTGGTTCGGTTCGGCACTTCCGAAATTTGGTACTTCGGGTATTTAAGGACTTTTGCAATTGTCTAGCCCTAACCCTACCTCTAACCCTACCCCTATCCCTAACCACTTACACATCTAGGGTTAGGGTAGAGTAAGGAGTGGGTTAGGGGTAGGGATAGGGATAGGGGTGGAGTTAGATTCCTGTCATCATTCACATAATTTTCCCTCCCTCTCTTGTTTTGCCACTTTTCAGAAATCCAAAGCACTTTGGCACTTCCGAAATTCGGCACTTTGGTTTGGCACTTCCAAAATTCAGCACTTCGGTAATTCGACAATTCGGACATTCAGAAGCATCTGAATGTCCAAATTGACAAAATTTGTCCGAATTTACATTCGGAACGAAACTAATTGCACATGTCTAGTGCATACATCTCAAAATCTTGCCAACACTACACACAAATACACTCATGCATTTCCACATCAACTCTACATACAAACTCCATAATTACAAATAACCATACCACTGCATTCAAATACCAAACAACACACAAATGCATGCTTGCATTCAAATGCCAACACTACATAAAAATACACCCCTACATTCACTCACACATACTCCATACAAAAACATGCTTACATTCAAACACTGCTCAGTGCTAAATATATATTAGTTGCGGTTGATTTTTACATTTAAAGTGGGGGGGGATGCCAAAAATGGGACCCGCCCCACGTGTCAAATGCTCTAGGTACGTCCCTGCTGCAAATATCAAAATTATAACATGTATGTATTTCAGATGTGTGTGTGCATCTGTGTGTCAGTGTGTATCTGAGCAGGGCTGGACTGGGGATACAAAGCAGCCCTGCAAAAAAAATCTGTCTGTCCCATAAGTCATTGTGCAGTGTGTGTGTATATTTATATCTATGCTTACAAATGACTCAGTCATCTGGATTGCAAGACATAGCCATATTTAAATTGGATAATAATTTATCACTGACACAAGTACACAAGCTTGGTGATAGACAGGCTCAAAGACAGACAATCTTATTGATACACATAAGCTCACTGATATAAAAACACAATCTGTATTATTGGCTGTTGCTTAAATAACATCTCTCACAGTGTGGTGGGAAATCATTAGTTGAGAAGCTTCCATTCACTTGGAAGCTTGGTTTCATTCAAAGATACACTGAAAGCAGGATTTATGCTCAGTCTTACACCACTGTATGCTAAAACCATGGGGAAGTCAATGCTAAAGATTACTGACACACGGAGACAAGCTTACTGGTACACACACACAAACTTAGTACAGACAAACTCTGACACACACACACACACACACACACACACACACACAAGCTTACTACAGACAAACTCGCTTGTAACATAGAAATATAGAAACATAGAATGTGATGGCAGATAAGAACCATTCGGCCCATCTAGTCTGCCCAATTTTCTAAATACTTTCATTAGTCCCTAGTCTTATCTTATAGTTAGGATAGCCTT